CGTCGAACCCAGCCGTCTGCAACTTCTTGCTTTGCATCTAACCGACAAACTCACTCAGCTTGCCGATAGCAATGAACAGGTTTGATTTTTGCAACATCATCTATCGCCTTTGTGCTTCTAATTGGATTGGAACATTTTCGATTTTACAGATTCTTGAACCACGAGCTGGTCGCAGCTATACGGGGCCAGGTGCTTGGTACGGTATGCGGCAGGAGCGTATCACTATGGAGCAGCAACCGCGCGCTAATCGTATGAATTATCAGGTGAGTACGGCTGTAATGTGACAGAGAGATTATAAAGTGCCACTATTACACAAAAGCGAAGTAGCTTACGCGTTCTTGCCACAAGAATCGCAGTTACGTCGAATTCGAATGTTCTACATTGCTACATTTCGCGAAAAACTTGCGAAAAGCCGGTTAAGAAGCCACCAGAAAAAAGGGGATAAAAGACGGGTATCCTGCCTTGAAAAACAAATACACAGTAGATGTGCTGCCAGGCTGGACATGGAGGATACGGTGGTGTAGTGGTAACACACTGCGTTCGGACGTGATAAGGAATGGTTCGATCCCGTCCCGATTCAGAACAATTTTTGAGAAAGGGCTCCATTCGGGACACTTCGTACTAAGCACAGTTGTCTCTCATTTGTTGCCCCTATGGGGCGATTAATTCCCATCTTTTGAGGGAAGAGGGAAATTCGCCAGTAGCATATAGCTTCGCTCTTTTGTGAAAATCGAATGTACTAGTAGGATAAGCAATACTTTTACAGTTCGTTCATTTATCTAAATAGAAAGTTAGTACTGGGTGCATGCCAAGGAGCCGAAATCGCCATCGACTTGCTTCTTTGAACCCTTGAAAGAGAAGCAGCTATCAGCTCTTGCCGGCTGCGATGCTGTTGGGCATGCTGCCCTTCGGGTTTCTTTTGCCTTCCTCAGAGAGTGAATACGAAGATTTTTGACTATTGTTTTGCTAAAATCGGTCGCGTTTTCAACGTGGTTGAGCCCCCGGCCTGTCATATATGCTCTCAAATATTCTATGAATTCGTCAAAGAAAAAACCCCTCGTCTCACTTTTTTTCTCGCATAACAAACAGAACATATAAAGATGTAGATTTTGTGAGATATTTGACTCAGAACATTTTTTTCAGGACTCATCGACAAAGGGTCGTTGGAATGCAAATCTTCAAAATCGACGCCGAATGGAGCAACGCAGTCGTTACTAATTACTGCTTTTGTTGCTTTTTTGTTTCGTAGTACAGTTATTTTGTTGAATGGTTTTAATTTCTATACTGTGAATTTTTTTTTTTTTGGTAAAATTGGTCCTGTTATCATAGTTAATCAGTTGCATGGATTTTTATGCGAAATAAATTCTGAGGGTGCCTCAACATGGCCTAGAAGTAGTTGCGTTCGAGACGAGGCGAGACGCCAAGAACACCTCGGGACGGCCAAGTACTTAGCCATCGCTTCGGATGAACCATGGGATTAGTGATCCCTTTAGGGACAAAGCGAATATCATTCAGTTAAGGGACAGTAAAGTGATCACCAGTGGGACATCGTTCTAGTTAAGAGACGTTAGAACTTTGAAAACAGAAAAGAGAAACTGAAGGTGTATAAGCGGCTCAAGAATTTCATTCACGGAAGAGGTGATCCCTTTTCCTCCGTTGCTTAATGAATAACAAGTTGGCGGCAGATAGACGGGCAAGGAAAACTGATTTATGAAGGGAAAATCGGTACGGTTTATCCGCTAGCGGATAAAATTTGGGAACGGTTGGGAAGTGGATTTCTTGAAGTATCACATAATTTGGGAGCGAGCTATAACAAAGAAATACTCTGCATTTAAAATACACGACCTGACAATGTTGAGAATGAGCGCGAATTGGGGGCCGCCAGATTTGCTACAGATTGTGGCGGAAAACCGGCGAAAAGCTGGCTAAGAAACCGCCACAAGGAAAAAAGGGAGTAAAAAAGGAGGGGTATCTTGCCTTGAAAGGCAGATACATGTTACCAGGCTGAATCTAGAGCACAAGGACCGGTGATGTGGTGGTAACACGTTGCGTCCGGACGTGAATAAGAGTGTTTTGACTCCCTCTTCCAGTCCAGAATAGTTTTGGAAAAAGTCTCTCTTCACGACAAGCTAGTGGTAAACCGAGGAAACCCACAAGTGCCAGATTTTTTTATTGGCTAGCAGTGCTGTATCATGTGTTGCAAAAATGAATTCAGTACTGTAGCAAATTTATTGCAGTCATAAATATAAAGCAAAACACAATCCAGAGAGTTACGCAAACTTAAAAACAGAAAATCTTCGAAGTGGTAAAGTAAATAAAAAGAGAGTTCTGGTTGCCCAGGATGCATTCAAATTCACCCAGTAAATAAATTCGGCTTAACCTTCCAGAAATAAAAATATGTTTTTTAAGCTGAACAAATTTCCCTCTTATACGATTCTGCGTATGGTAATACTAAGATCATATAGTAATCGTTGCGATAACCCACATTATTAGTTGAAGGGATGATCTCATAAGTCAGGTGTAAACCCCATAATCCTGAGCTGCATATTTCCGTGGAATATATCTTTGCAAAATTGATAATTCAATTGGTGGAGGACGGATTGAAGAACACTTTCACTGCAAAAACCAGTTCATCTCCGCAGCTTCGCTCGGCGCGCTGTCGGAGTATCTGCCTGGAAAAACTTTTATTTTGGCAAAAGAGAAATATTCTCAACCACATTCTGGGTTTTACATCAATTCTTTCCCCTCCTCAGTGAGCCTTTCGTAATCCTCCTTTACACTTATCTTCCTGAGTGAAGTGCAAGGAAGAAAGTATCTTATAACTTAAAATTTTTCGATTTTTGGAAATTTTTTGTAATCGGAGAACTGGGACTGACCTTTCGCTTTCTGTTTGCACCATCAGTGTCCTTGTCCGTATCCATCACAGCAAAATCGTAGCTATCGCTCTCCGCCACCGCTTCTCCACCATCCTTTGCAAATTCTAAAAATCCACGCAAATCAGACGTCAAATCGCTTCGAATTCATTCTCTTCGACAGGCACTCGGAAATAGCCCGAATGGTAGCAAATATCAACAGCAACCATCCGCTGGCAAGGGCACTTGGCTTTCTTGATCTTATAGCTACAAATTCTGAAATCCTCCCTACACGGCCATGCGCTTACCTCTAATCCCCTACTCCGCTTCCCCCCTCCTCATCCCACGAAGACGTGCATTTTGCTGCAGGCTAGGAAATTCGCTTCACTCTTACGTCTGATCGCGATTTTCACGTCCAAAAATTGACAGTACCTGGATATTCCTCATTCTTATTCAGTTTCTCATGTTCTTCCTCCGAAAACGAATCATGGTTCAACGCGTCGTCGGAATCGGCATCCATTTCATCTTGTTCCATTTCTTCCTCACTGTCACTTGTATCCGTTTCTGCAGTCTCATTTTTAACTGCAAAGGAGAAAGGAAAATTTATCATCCAAAAATAATTTACAAAGACCAAAATCCCTTTGTATTCACTAAATGCGAGCGATACTGGCACTCGAAAGCAGAAGCAGCCACATATTTTAGAAAAAGCATTCGTTGGCAAAATTCTCGATGTTTCCTTCTTTCGAGGGTTACTTGAAAAGAGGCTACCGGTGATAGCCTCAACAATCATCACTGAAACGATTGAATGAATTGCTTGTCCCATTCGCGGAATTCGAAGAGCTGCAGTGCCTTCTTTTTACAGATTATAACTCAATGGACCGAAACGTCTTATCTCACTCTTGCATTCTTTTCTCATACAGTTCTTTCATGCTGTAATCTGTCGCGTCTTTTTCGCCATTTAGACTTCTAGGGTCAGCCTGGTTGCTACAATCGGCTTACCGGGAACGAAGGCATTGTTGGTGAGCCGCACTGCGTAATACTTTTCACAGTCAACATCAAACAAAAAATCATCCACTTCATATGCATCAGCAAGTGGTGCATGGGGTGCATCGATGCTCGGAAAACTATGATAACACGTTGACAGCATATTATCACGGTGCCGCTTCCGCTAACCTGCACACGTACTGTTATCAATTTGAGAGCGATTGAAAAGCGAATGTCACGTCGTCGTGAGTGAAGAAGCAATTAAGCGTCAAGCAATCCCTCGTTCAGATTTAGAACACATGTAACGAAATGGTGCTTTCTTGATCTAAGAAAGTGGCCCTTAGCCAAGCGATATCCCTGCACCCACTTTAGCTCGAAAACTTTTAAAAATTG